TGGTTTGAGTTTAAGCCACTGGGTCCGGGACTCAAACCATGGTCGACTACATGGGAGTCCAGCGACATAGCCATTATGCTAACTGCTGGTCCCACCATTAAGAATATTTGATGTTTCCAGTGTTTCAAAATATAAAACAACTTGGTAAGCAGTACTTTTACAGATGGCTATTTGAATATACACATGACTACTTATTTTAAGGATAAACTTTAGAAGTGGTTGACTAGGCAAACACAACAACTTACATGGCTTGCCTTCAAAAACAAATCTCTGATGGGACCAGTAGTTAGCGTAATGGCTATGTCACTGGACTCCCATGTAGTCGACCGCAGTTCGTGTCCCGGACCCGGTGGCTTAAAACTCACACTGGGCACATGTGCGTTCGTGCCCAAGATCCAGAGAGGAGAATGGAGTAGAAGGGATTGTGGCATGGCCATCCCTCCTGGGGGGTGATTTCTCAGTTTCTGTCTCTCTGTCTCTGTCTGCCTGGCGAGCACACGCACCCTATAGCAAAAATAAACAAAACAAGCAAAAAACCTCTGATTTCAGTAAAAACTTAAACTTACATGTTTATATGGCCTTTGAATTTCTTTTATAATTCGGTAATTCTTCAAAGACAAAAGCTAAAAAAATTTTAGAAAATTTTTCTGCCTTTTCCCCAAAATTAATAGGATTTTTCTATAATGGTATTTTTGTAAAAGAACCAAGAATACTATTATAGAAACTCTTGTGAATGACTTGTGTGCTTCATCATTTAAAGATCAACATTGTCTGGTTACCAAAAGAAAAGTTTTATGACTTTTGTAGTCTAAAGGTGAGAAACAAGGTACTTAGAATATTGAGATGGTGCCAGCAGGTGTCATGGTAGTTAAAGTTAGATACCACATAGCCAATCATGATTTGAGTCCTGAACTTGGTGGCTTAAAAATCATGCTGGACATGTGTGCATGCATGCCCCAAATCCCAGGAGAATAGGAGAAGGGACTGTAATGTGGCCATCCCTCCTGGGAGGTGATTTCTCACTTTCTTTCTCTTTTGTCTCTTTTTAGTAAGTGAACATACCCTATGGCAAGAACCTTAAAAGAAAGAAAGAAAGAAAGAAAGAAAGAAAGAAAGAAAGAAAGAAAGAAAGAAAGAAAGAAAGAAAGAATACTGAGGTGGTAAAGCTAGAAGCATATTATACAACCTCTCTAAGCTTTAGTTTTTCTTATTCCTTTTTTTTTTTTTAAATTATTTGTTTGTTTATTTGTTTGTTTTTGTATGTATGTATGACCAAAGAGGGATAGAGAGAGAGAGAGAGAGAGAGAGAGAGAGAGAGAGAGAGCAAGCAAGCCGCCAGGTCCAGGCAGGACTCGAACCACAGTTGGTTATGTGGAGTCCAACGCCCTTAACTACCACACCACCTGCTGGCCCCAGTTTTTCTTATTCCATGTCTTCCTTGCCATCTTCTACTGTCCTTGTGGAACTCTGTTTTATTTCCACCTTTTGCAGATGCCCAAGATCTGGAGGCTGCTTTTCAGTATGGTACTTACTACTTACTTGTTATTTGCTTATAGAAAGTAGAGAATTCCTAAAAGTAATTCACTTTGATCTTATTTTAAGCGATCATTCAGTCTGGGTAACACACGAATTTGGATAGGTTTCATTGACTTGATTTGAATAAATAAGATTTTATTGTACTGCTATTTCACTGATTAGTTGGAACTCCCACAGGAAAAATTAGCTGGTTAATGTCATCCTTCTTATCAAAGCTCTTCTGTAATTCATGAATTTTGTAATGCATCTTAATACGATCTAATCTTAAGAGTCATTATTTACTTTTCTGTGTCTAGGCAAGGAGAGTTAGTTTGTATTTCTAGTTATTATTTTAAATCAAATTTCAAAGACATTTCTTGTAAAATCACACCACTTCATATTGAAATACTTACTCTTTTTTGTCCCCTTCTCCTTCCCTCCCTCCTCCTTACTACTCAACTGTCCTGCCCCATTAGAATTCTGAGATGTGGTACAAGCGGCACAGTATTGCAATTGGAGAGGTGCCAGCCTGCCGCCTCATCCACCGCAGGCAGCTGACAGAGGCCAACGTGGAGGAGATATGGAAGTCTATGACATTATCATAGTATGTGCATTTGTTAATAATAAGAAATGATAGTTTTTTCCCCCCTATTTCGTTCTTCTACTACTCTGCATATTTAATTTTTAGAAATTATACATAAATGTTTCAAATTTGCATTATTTATAGAAAACATAATTTAATTGAATTCTGGAGATTTTTCTATTGCTATTTATGTAGTAATTAAAAATAGGAGTTTAAAAGTTCTTACATTTTCTGGGACAAGCTGGTGGCATTGTGCTTGAAGTAGCTGGAGCTTATCTAGCTAACTGTATGGTTCGAATCTTCTATCTGGAGACTTGAAAAATATGCTGGGTGTATGTGTGTGCATGCTCAAAATCCTGAGAGGAGAATGGAGGAGAAGGGATTGTGGCATGCCTAATCCCCCTGAGGGTGTGCTTTCTCACTTTCCGTCTCTGTCTCTCTGGCGAGCACATGTGTCCTATAGAAAATTAAAAAAATAAATTAAAAACATTAAATTTTCTATTAGCACTCAAATATTAAGCCTAATAAAGCACATATCGGAAAATTTGTTTCTCTAGGTATTTGATATTATAGTTATAATTAGAGTTAATAGTATTCTAACAATTTTTCTTATAAAGATACTGTAGTTTCTCACCATTGGATAAACTAGTTTTTGTTCTTATAGTCTTTTAACTTATTAAATCATTTTGGCATTTGGGATGTTAAATTATTTCAGTGAATAATATGTTAATGGTAAAAAGATATCTTTTAAGTTTCTTTTATCATACTCCATTTCTAATTTTTATTTTGCCCTATGAAGTTGGATGAAATGCATGAAAATAATTCATTTTATTTATTTATTTAATATATATATTTTGAAAATAATTCATTTTAAAGATTAACCTTGGGCTAGGCTTGTAGCCTAGTGGTTAAGGGAGGTGGATCTCACATAGCCCCACATGGCCGACTGATTTAAATTCCTTCCCTGGCAGCTTGAAAAACAAATCAAGTATGTGTATGTATGTGCATGCCCCAAATCCTGACAGGATGGAGAAATAGAGAAGAAGAGATCAAAGCATGACCCTACCCCACTGCGAGATGCATTCTCTCTACCCCTCCATCTCTCCCTAGTAAATGCATATACCCTCTGGCAATTAAAAAAAAAAGATTTATCTTTTGCAGTGCTAGGTTTTTGGGTAAAATAGTGATTAAAATTTCTTTTAATCATAATTCTTGATTTACCTGTAATGATTGTGCATCTTTGTGGGGTACAGTGTTTTTTGTTTGTTTTTTTCAGAGGTTTTTGCTATAGGGTGCGTGTGCTCATCAGATAGACAGAGAAAGACAGAGAGACAGAAAATGAGAAATCACCCCCCAGGGAGGATGGCCACGCCACAATCCCTTCTCCTCCATACTCCTCTCGGGATCTTGGACACGTTCGCACATGCGCCTGGCGTAAGTTTTAAGCCACCGGGTCCGGGACACAAACTGCGGTCGACTATGTGGGAGTCCAGTGACATAGCCATTACGCTAACTGCTGGTCCTGGGTACAGTGTGATTTTTTCGAAGCATGTATATGGTGTGTAATAAATAAAGAAATAAATATATTCACTACCTCCAACTTTTATCTTTACTTTGTGTTGTTCACATTTGAAATTTGTTCTACTGGTTATTTAGCAATATATATTTAATTGTTAGTGTTAATTATCATTGTTTTTTTAGTTTACAGAAAATCCTTGGCCTGGATTCCTTAGAAGAAATTTTGGACATCAAGCTTGTCGACTCCAAGTTCATCATCCATAATGTGTACAGTGTTAGCAAACAGGGAGTTGTTATCCTTGATGACAAATCCAGTGAGTCCCTAAGTACCCTCTTGTTTCTACTTGACCTAATTGGCTACACAGCTCCCTCAGCTCCTATTTGATTCTTCCCTAAACTTCAAACAATTTTACCCCCTCCATACCTATATTCTTCTCCTTCTTTCTTATACCTTTAACCTAATTGGAGTAAGGAAATATCACAGAAAGATGAGTATCCAGGACTGATAGCCTCAGCAGAATTCATGCAGAGGCTAGCTCAATGCTAGCCACCCTGAGGACTAAGGGGTGGTTCCTTACTATCCCCAAGAAAATCCTGGAAAAGTGAGTATTTTTAAGACCTAATTGAGAACTTGAGTCAGTCTTCAGGTGGGTCCTGGAGTCTGATTTCATTTAGGAATGTCTTTTCATTATGATGTCTCTGTGTTTCATTTTCTGGGATAGTCTTAGTGTATATAATTTTCTTTTTAAAAAAACAAGATAGCTCTTTAAATGTTAGGCTACCTTATTTTTTAATTTTTGTGCCTTTTCCTCTGGGCCAGTTTACAAATCGAAGGGGGAGTGGTAGTGCTGGGAGGAGAAGACATTTAGTAACTACCTAATCTGGTTTCTGATTTGAAAAATTGAGATCATAGTACCTATAGTGGACTACAGTCCTCAGTAAAATCAGTCACAGATTTTAACAACTTTCTTCCTAAGGGTAAGGGTTGGCCAGAAATCAATGGGCTCTTTGATTTGTTCTTTCTTTAAATCAAACCATTAATGCTGGGAATTGACTAGAACTAAAATGACATTTTGTTGTGGAAATATGGTACAATACTTTTTTGTTTTTTATAAAATATTAAATTTAGGGCTGGAGGCGCCAGACAGAGTGAATGTACCAGAAGATCCTGTGTAGTTGTGTGAGGGCAAGTTTTTCTAGGCCATGTTTCCTAACAGGAGCAGAACTGGTCTTTGAAACATGAAACACTTCCCTTTTATATCCCTTATATTAGGGCTAGAGGACAGTGAGAGACTGAAATAGATTTGTGGTGACTTCTTGAGTTGTCAGGTTAACATCAATATATAAAATTAAGTTCCTTACAAGGAAGAGGGTGAAAGCCTTTGCAATATATTCAAAATCTTTCCACTTTCTCTGAATATAACCAATTAATACTTTTAGCTATCCAGTAGATGACCAGACATCTTTGGTTTTATTAAGTTCTTCAGAAAAAAGACAACATTTTATAAAACTCAGGGTCAGTTCTAAATCAATTCAATAAGAATCCCCCCTGTTTTACAGAAGGTAGAGAAGATGAGGACGTGGAGGGAATCGTAAGTCCCAGCCCCTCTCATCAGATGTCTGTGACAGGCCAGGAAAAGAGAGATTATGCCAGATGGCTCAGCATGTAGCAGTGTTACTATTATTTTAAGAGTGTTCTCCTACTAATAGGCTAATATTAATAGCCAGCAAAGCTCTTTTGTCCTAAAGCATTTTGAAAATGGAAAAATGTGTAATAATGTTTACATTGGACTACAGAACTTCCCTTATTTTGGGGGGTATAGTTGGTGAATTTATTTCACAAATGCATTTGATGACTTTCTCTTCTAGAATTCATAGGGTAATTGTTTTGTCTTTTGGTTTGTTTCTTTGGAACAAACTCTCAATTTTACTTATTTATTTCCAAAGATTTAAAAGGTACATCTTGTCTTTACAGAATTTTGTAGGCATGATTTATACAAGCACATATTATAACCCTGCCACTATAAAGATATTTCTATCTTTAAAAAAACCTTTTTTTTTTTTGAGAGTTTTTTGCTATAGGGCGCGTGTGCTCGCCAGACAGACAGAGAGAGACAGAAAGCGAGAAATCACCCCCCAGGGGGTATGGCCACACCACAATCCCGTCTCCTCCATTCTCCTCTTGGGATCTTGGGCACACATGCACGCGTGTACGGCGTGAGTTTAAGCCACTGGGTCCGGGACTTGAACCATGGTCGGCTACATGAGAGTCCAGCAACATAGCCATTACGCTAACTGCTGGTCCCTATCTTTTAAATTTTTAATGCATGAATTTGTGAGTTGTGATTAACAGATACGTTTTCCATTACTTGGACAAGTCATGCATTCTTATAATACCGAGTATGCATGTAATTTCTTCTTTTTATTTTTGTTTTCTTACAGAGGAACTTCCTCATTGGGTGCTGTCAGCTATGAAGTGTTTGGCAAATTGTAAGTATTAATTATCTGAGAGTTTTATGAAATTAATGGAAATTAGTGCCCTGAATTAGAAAATACTCTACTCAACAGCCTGAACATTCATTTGACACCTGTGAGACTGGCAATTTATTGTTGTGGGACTGCTGTGCTTTTAGCAATAAATTAATGACTTAGTGAAAGGACTGAGTTATGGGATAGCCTTAAAGAGATCCAGAGCTTCCTTTTTCTAGTAGAAATAATCACCCATGTATAAAGTTCATACTACTTCTAACTACTTTATGATAAGAATGAAGAAAACCAGTAATGCTACATGCAATATTGTAATAAGTGGCTGCCTGTTAATAGTCTAGATTTTTTCCCTAAAACAGGTATTCCTAACTATCCACTGTACTCACATTATCAATTTACTCAGCAGATCCTGTCTATTATTGGGATTTCATAGGGTAGTACTTAAGTGGGAGAGAAATGTTTTAGAAGACTGAGGGTTGTTTGGAAGAAGAACATGCTTATAGAGAAACATGATGATGTTAACCTGACATATTGATGCTAATCTGCTTCCTCTGGGCCAGTTTCTGCTTCGGTAATTTGGATGTGAGATGAGGGGCCCTGGACCAGAATGGTCACTGTGGGTGTATATCTTTTTTTTTTTTTTTTTTTTAATTTTTGCCAGAAGGCATACACACTTGGCCAAAGAGAGAGAGATGGGGGAGAGGAGTGAGAAAACAACCCCCATGGGGAATGGTCATGTCGCAATCCCTTCTACATTTCTCCACCCTGTGGGAATTTTAGGCAAATGAGCACACATGTGTCTATCGAGTTTTTCAGGTGCTTGGTCTGGGACTCCAACCCCACAGTTGGCTATGTGGGATCCAGCTGTCTTAACCATGCCCCCAGATGGCCCCTGAAATCTATTGATATTTTGTAGGTATGTGGTTTCCATTTCACTGGACATCATAGGTGCTGTGAAGGAATGAGCAATCATGGTATCTCACTAACACCACCATTTGTCTGGGGAATTTTAAGAAGGCTTAATCCAGAAAAAGGATTCTAATGGAATGTCTTAACCCAAACAGGTTATTTTAATGAGAAAAATTCTAGTTATTGTGACTGAGCAATAACGGTGACCTTTTGTGTAGAGGGCCTTTTCAGTCGCACAGAGAGCAGAGAGGTAGTTTTCTTTCCTTTTGGGTATGACTGGCATGTACAGACATGAGTGTAAAACTATTTGAATTAGCAGACCCTAAATTATTGATTTAACTGGGGTTGGTTTTATTTGATTATAGAGTGAAACAAAAATAACTATTCAAATTAAAGATGGTTAATCTTACTGGTTTTATATATATATGGAAAACGATAACATACTGTTGGGCCAGCCTGTGGTTTGGTGGTTAGGGAAGATAAATCTCACATGGCTAACTGTGTGGCTTGAGTCCTGGACCAAATAGTTTGGGAAACATGTTGAGTTCATGTGCACATATGCCTGAAATCCAGACAGCTTGGAGAAATGGTGAAGGGATTGCAGCATGACTATACTACATGGCATGTGCTAAGAATGCTCTCTCTCTCTCTCTTTGATAAGTGCATGTGCCCTCTGGCAAGTTAAAAAAAATAATGTGATATCATTCTCAGTATGATTAGTAACACTAGTTTGTATGAAGTACAAGTTTCTCTGGGTTTAACTATTAATATTAAAATTTTCATTGGTTTTTGGTTGATATTTTAGAAACCCTGAGATGTAGAGCACTGTGGTTTTAGTGTGAGGAAATGCTTTTTATTCTTCCTGCTCAAAATTTTAAGTAAAATACATTTAAATTATATCTTAGGCAAGAGTTGGCAATGATGAAATAGATGGTATAATGGGAAGTTTAATTACCCATTTCTGGACTTCTGGCAAACTAAGGATTTGGAATTCAGTCAGCTGGGAATGAGTATAGAAATCTAGTATAACATCTTGGTTATGATATGTTGTAAAGTATATATTAATATGTGTTTATGATGTTGAATTTTTAAGGATGACTGAAATATAGTGAGGAATATAATTTTCCCTCAAGCAAGACATACACTTAAAGCCACAAAACTTTTGCAGAAAGTTCAGAGCAACTGGAATTACCAGTAGAAGAGAAAAATGTAAAGAGTGACTTAGCAATGATCTACATGTGTGAAGTGGTGTTACATTAGGCGGAAAATGTTTGAAACATGGAATGTGTCTCACATATCTCAAGTGCTGCGCTTTGGAAGTGATTGGCATACCCACAGAGGTGTTTGTTTATGTGTCAAAAAAAAAAAAAGTAGTCAAAGACTAAGGTCATCCTTTAGAATGGCTTTATAAAATTACAAAGTTTTAAAACATTCTTGTTGACTCTCAAAATTTACTTTGAGTCCATCAAAGTCATAACCTGTTCTCTGTTCTTATCCTTAATAAGTCCACATTCTTATAATCATCTAAATGGTAACAGAAAAGATAGGCTGATTATAAGATATTTTCAAGGTTCATTGCCTTATTTTTGGTTAGCTTACTGCTCTTCTCTTTTCTCTGTAGGGCCAGCTGCATTTGTTTTAGACCGTGTATGTGTGTGAATGTGGACACTTTATGATTGTTAATCATCCTCAACTCTGGCTAAATAAATATAAAGCCAGGTTAACTGTGTTTTTTCTTCTGTATATATGGGACATAAGAATTCAATGAAATATGGATACAAAGCAGTCAAAGCATTTTTTCCTACTCAGAATCAGTCAGAAATAACATTTATTTTTTATTTATTTGCTTTTTTTTTTTTTGAGAGGTTTTTGCTATAGGGCGTGTGTGCTCACCAGAAAGACAGAGACAGTAAGCGAGAAATCACCCCTCAGGGGGGATAGGCACACCGCAATCCCTTCTCTTCCATTCTTTTCCTGGGATCTTGGGCACGCACGCACACACGCATCTGGCATGGGTTTAAGTCAACTGGTCCGGGACATGAATCGTGGTCAACTACATGGGAGTCCAGCGACATAGCCATTATGCCAACTGCTGGCCCCAAGTAATAACATTTATGAATAACTAGATTAAAAAGTTCTTAATATTGGGAACCAGCAGTTAGCGTAATGGCTATGTCGCTGGACTCCCACGTAGTCGACCGTGGTTCGTGTCTCGGACCCGGTGGCTTAAATCTCACGCCGGGCACGTGTGCGTGCGTGCCCAAGATCCCGAGAGGAGAATGGAGGAGAAGGGATTGCGGCGTGACCATCCCCCCTGGGGGGTGATTTCTCGCTTTCTGTCTCTATGTCTCTCTCTGTCTGTCTGGCGAGCGCATGCGCCCTATAGCGAAAACCTCTCAAAAAAAAAAAAAGTTCTTAATATTCAAGATGATTAAAAAGATAGTAAAAATATAGCCTCCTCTCATAGGGCTCATTATACACCTTTTTTTTTTTTTTTTTTTTTTTTTTTTTTTGGTGGGGAGTAAACTTTGTTTTTGCATATTTTTAACAAATGTTAAAATGTTCACAAAGGAGTACAACTGCTTAGAATTAACCACATACTTAACCTGTAGGGAGTAATTCTAGGCAATGAATATTTCTTGCTAAGACATATCATCCTAGTTAGTTCAATTGACTAAGCATGAACTAGTCAGGGGAGGAAGCAAGCAAAAATGGCAACTGCATTTGCTTCTGGGTTCATGTGGTACCATATGCATAAGTGTTTCACAATTGGCATTAAATTAGTTTACAAGAAGGGAACAGAAAATTGAAAAGTAAAAGAGACTTTAAGGAGATGAAAAGAAGCCATTTTATGTTGTCACAGTGGCCTCAAAATATGAAGGCCTAGATGCTTTTCTGTCCTTTTCAGCTTGATCGTCTGTTTTCACTTTTAGAGATTCTGTAGGAAGAATTTTCTTTCAATTTATCTTGGCTGCTCTTTTTGTTCTCCTGGGCGTAGAGGTCTATTTGGGTGAGTTGGTTAGCCTTCTAGAGGAATAAAAGTGGATCTTTGCCTTGCTGCTGGCCTGAGAAATAGTTGGGACAAGGCAAGATTTCTATGGGAACTCCAACTTTGTAGTATGACTATGTTTGATAAATGATTTCTTTTTAAAAGACAGGTCTTGCTATGTTGCCCAGGCTTGCCTCCCACTTATAATCCTCCTGCTTCAGCCATCCAAGTAGCTGGGTCAGCAGGCATGTACCACCATATCTGGCAGATAAATTGTCTTCTGATATTTGGTTGGGATCAAATAAAGAACTTATAATCAGAATGAACTAACAAGACAAAAATGTAAAATTCCCTTTTCAGGATATCTTTTTAAAAAGGTTAAAGTTTTATTAGTCTGAAATAGTTTAGTTTAGAGGCAGAAATTAATTCACTCAGCTCTTCGACTATAGGATTTAGTATTACAGCAATGATGAAATAATAAAAAGCTTTAATAATTGCTTTATAAGTAGTCTGTTAGATATATGAGCTAGTTGTTTCCTTGGTCAACTTTATCAAGATTAGGAAAATAGTCAATACTCAAAAGAAAATGATATATTTTTATATATAATAAAAATGCCTTTCAGAAGACCAAAAGAGAGTGGGTTTCCCGCCCTTGCTATAGGTATGTGTGCTCATCAGAGAGAGACAGAGAGGCCCACCCTACCCCCCCATGGGATGGCTACACCACAATACTTTCTCCTCCAGTCTGTTGTTGGCATTTTGGGTACAAAGGCCCATGTGCCTACTGTGATTTTCTTTCTTTTTTTTAAAAAAAAAATATTTAAATTTATTTACTTACTTATTTAATTCAATATGCCCACGGGTGGTGAGAGAAAGTAAGAAAGCAAGTTGCCAGGTATGGACTCGAACCATGGTTGGCCATGTGGGAGTCCAGCACCTTCAACCACCATGCCACCTAACAGCCCCGTGCCTACTGTGATTTTTAAGCCACCAGAGCTGGTACTCAGACTGTGCACTTGGTCATGCAGGGTCCAGCGTCTTAGCCTCCCCATGCCTTCTGTTGGCCCAAGAGTGGGTTTCTTTTAAACTGGAAGTAAGCTATCAACTTTCCTCATTGTTCAATAATAGATTTTAATTTAGACATAAAGCATATTTGTAAGCAAACATGTATAATGTTTATTTATCTTTGTCAATTTTTGCCATGAAAATTTTCTTACATCTCCCAAATACCTAAATACTGCACATACAAAGAATAATAAATACTTAGAGAAAATTGTCTTATTAATATTTTTTCTTTCTCTCTTTTTTAATAGGGCCCAACTGTTCTGATTCGAAACAGCCTATGTACTTGGGATTTGAAAAAGATGTCTTTAAAACTATAGCAGATTACTATGGTCATTTGAAAGAGCCTCTACTTACATTTCATCTTTTTGATGCTTTTGTCAGTGTTTTAGGTAAGTTGGAATATAAGGAACATATCTGCATTATTGATATTGAATCTTTTATTTTTTACAATCTTGAGATTTTCATTAGACAAAGCTTCAGAATATTTTAAAAATAAAAAGTGATAAGGGCGTGGCCTAGCTGGAATCCTGCTTTATGAAGTGGTAAAAGGAAAGGGTTAAACTCTGTTATCAAACTCAAAGCAAGGATCTGTTGCTTTTATTTATTTATTTGTTCTAGAACTATTAATTTTATTATTATTATTATTGTTATTATTATTTTTAATTTGCTATCAGGCAATGAGTTCACCAAAGAGAGAATTAAAGAGGGGGAGAGAAAGTGAGAAAATGAGAAAGCAAGCCTCCAAATTTGAACTCTACCTGCAGTCGGCCATGTGAGAGTCCAATACCTTAACCTCCAAGCCTCCTGATGGCCCCATAGTTTTTATTTCTTAAGAAGAAATAGTATGTAGTGTGTCATTTTTATACATAAAAGTTTAACTTTGTTGGTAAAGAAGAACATAAATTTGACATTTACTGTTCGGAAATGTACTGGGTTGTTGGAAAAGTCATAATGCATTTTTGCACAGAAAAATATCATGACTTTTCAGATGACCCAATATTACCCTGCATTTATGACTTCAAGAATAGTCAAATATATTTTCATTTAGAAATCTAATTTATTTTTCTAGTAGAAACAGGTTTTTGTAGGATTTATTTTTTGTTATTTGAGATAGACAAGCAAATATAATAGCTTTATCATTCACTAAAACTTGTTGCTGTTCCTCACAAAGATTTATACTTTAGTATTTACACTGTCAACAAACATAGTGGAAGGGAAAGTAATCAACATTATTCCTGTAGGTTTTTCTGATATTGTTCCTTTCTTCTTGGAAATCACATTTTCCTATTTGGCTGTTGTAACCGTTCAATAAATATTAATGTTTTCTTACTGAAAGGTTTGTTTTAAAGACCAAATTACTGTGCATCACATTCAGTTAATATAAATTTGCCAGAATTAACATCCTCTTGTTTTTAAGTATTGCAGGATTCAACAATCTTTCTTTCCATTTCTCTTTTTTCCCCTTGCTTCCTTTTCTTCCTCTTCCTACTTTCCTTTTTCTCACTTATGGATGCTGCCATAGTATCCTAACAAAATTTCAGCAGTTTGTGACTAAGTTATCTGATCTTATGGCCCAGTACTTTAGATTTTAAGCTTTTGTAAGTTGTTTAATCATAGAATAAAAAATACAATAATTGTAAATCATGTGTGTAAAGCAGACCAATATTGGGAAGCAATGCAGGGAACCAATGAAGGGGTTAGGTTTATTACTGAGCTTTGAGACCACTGGGTCTTCTGTGCACGTCGTTTCCAACCAAGGAGGACTGGAGTATTAGGCTTGTGAGCATCATGTGTAATGATGAGTACTTGCTGCTGTATAGTATGTTGTGCATTAATTGAACTGACTCCCACTATAATCACTTACTGCCATTAAACCACTAGTGAAAGAAGAATTTAAAAGACTGGATGAAAAATTACTTCATAGGCTTTGTTCTCATTTTTCATTTTCATAATATTCTGTAGTAAAGTAACCTGATTTGGAAACAAAAGCAGTTGAAAATTTAAAAAATTCCTAGTGGCTATAGTTATGATGTAACTGGTCTCCAGTATCCCAGTTATTCACTTTGATCTCAGCTAGTAATGAAAGCTGGTAATTGGAGGTATCAGAGTCAGCTACTTTCTAAAATATCATTTAAAGGTTTGGATCAGTGAAGGATGAACAGATTGGGGAAATTTTTGCTCTTAGGTTTCAGCAAGAACAGACCAGGTGCGTGCAGCTAGTGATGATACATCAGCTTTGCCTCATCTAGTCCTTCTCACGTGAATGTATTTGAGACACTGTATTGAAAACCAGTTTTACTGTGACACAGTAAAAGACGAAAGTCCTCTAGGTATGGAAGACCATAATTTGAGTATATTAATAACAAAAATGATCTACTACAGCAATCCTGTTAGAGTTCATTAGAAAAAGTAAATATCTACATACACAGTTGGATCCCAGTAGGGTTGACTCATCTCTTAAACTTTTTGACACACTTTTATTGGAATAGGATGTCATTAGATAAAGTATCTTAAGATAAATAATCAGTCTTCTTTGTGTCAAAGCTAAAAATTGTACAGTATTTGCAATGGAGGTGATTTTTAGTTCAGTTAATGAATGTCTTTTGAGGTTTATTCCTTTGCTCCAAGCATGGTTGGGCTTGATGTCAAAGGTGTAATCCTGAGAGCAGTTAGTCATTATTGGTACTTGAAATAGGACATCTAAAAGGCTCTACAAAAACAAAAAAAACTTGACATTTTTGGAGATTTAAGACTTACTCTTTACTTATAATTTAAAAAATTATTTAATGTCGCTTAGCAGTGTGATCGCACAACATAACCGTCTATAGTAATTGATCTTCATTTCTAAAAGAAAAGTTTCTTGTAATAAGATCAGCACTTGGCTGACTCTTGACTGGCATGAATGAGAGTCACATCCTTCACTCACACTCAATGGACTCTGTGAGTTGTGTAGCACATATTAATTTGGCATATTTAGGG